AGTTTATCATAAATTAATCATAAAATTTTTTAATATAAATTTTTTTAAAAAATTACAAATTTTAGCTTCTAAGTAATTTTAAACTTTTTAATATATAATTAAAAGATAAAACTTACTATAATTTATTATATATTTATTAAATTAATTTAAAAAAAAAATTTTAAAAAATATGTATTATTTATAAAAGTAAATCAGAAGATAATTTATAGTAAATAAGCAGGCAAATTTGCCTGCAAAACCCTACGATTTAAGGGATAAGATTTTTTGTATAGTAATTTGGTTATTTCTTTTTTATCTAAAATATCAAAACATATTTATTCATAAATGCGGTGGTCTACTTTTTAAAATAGTTAATAAAATTTTAAATTTAATTTTGAATTGATTTATATAATAAATTTAAATATTTGTGACAAAATTTATTATTAAATAAATTTTATTGAACTTTTTTATTTGATTTTATAATTATGACAAAGTTATTTATGTAGGGATTATTATATGATGACTTTTTTTTTTTAATTCTTATCAAAATCTTTTTATTTTAATAATAAATGACATAAATGTCAAGATATTGTAAATAAATGAATGCCTCTAACGTTTGAAACATTCATTTACGCAAATGAACACCTCTGACGCGTTGAGGCATTCATTACTGCACAAAACCATATCGGCTATTTGCAAAAAAAAATTTATTTTTTTTTTGCAAAAAATGGTCAAAGCATTTATTTATTGTAAAAATCATATTTTTGCAAATTGAACGAATAATATCAGCGTCTTTTACTATTTGCAAAATCAGTTTTATTTTGCGTTTTCGACGTCGCTCGACACTAATGATCCTAAGCGGTCCTAAAAGTCCCAATAAATTTGCCAGTTCTAGAGAAGATTTTTATTTTATTGGCGTTATGTTTTATATTAACGCGGGAACCCAGAATCTTAATTTTTGAAACTTAGGACCTGGCGGTCCCATGAAAATTTGTCGATTTCAAAGTTCATATTTCTTTTAAAAGTTATTCATAAAATTTATTATTACAATATTTTATCAAGTTACGTATTATATTATAGATGAACGATTAGACTTTTCTATAACTCGTAATTTTTATATTTGTTTGCAATCATTTGGGACCGTCTACTCGAAACACTCATTACAAAAAAAATTATTACTTTTCCATCCCATTGGTATATAGCCTTATGGGATAGTTTAGGCTGAAATTAAGTTTATAATACATTATTACATGGATAAGCTTGAATGAATAAATTTTACAATTTTATTTGAAAGAAATTTTTGAAAAATGTTTATATCTATCATTTTAAATGTTTTGCAAAGATTTTTGATTTTAAAAAATAACAATGGAGATGCCTTTTTTTTTTAAAAAAAAAAAAAGTATATATATATATGTATTATATAAGTATGAATTATATAAAATTGGATTTTTTTTTTTTTTTGTGGAAGTTCATTTTCTTCTATTTGTTTCAATAAATTAATCTAGTAACGTTCCAATCAATATATTAGACATTAGCAAAGATAACCCTTTATAAAAAGGTAATTCATCTAGTTTATCTATGCCAAAATAAGATATTAACTAAATTAAATGAAAAGCATAATATGTAATAGTGCTTAATCTTTCAGCTGAAAAATTCAAAGCTAAACGCATGAATTCATTTGCTATTTTAGGTTCTTTTTTAAGCAACTTTTCATAATCCGACTTTGTCATCTGCCATAAAACACAATCGTTTTCCGCTACCAAGGTTGCATCTCTTTGCCTACCCGTAAAAAATCCTAGTTCTCCCGCCATTGTACCAGGCAAAATACTTTCTACAGGTCTAGAATGATCACTTTCCATCGCTCTCCAGGTCGCTTTTAGTATGCCTTTTTCTACTAAATATAAACAATCTGGTACAGAATCTTGGCGCCATAAAATCGCTCCTGATGGTACATTTATTTCTCGGAAATATGGTCCTAACTGATCAAAGAATTCATCATTCTTCTGAAATATTTCTTCAAATGCTTCCATAAGAACTGCTGTAAGTTTATTGACGCTTCGTGCAGGTCTTTCTTCTAATTCAAATTTTTTTTTAAAAAAAATAAAAGTTTACGAAATGCGCGAATAGATTTTGGTCATAAAATATTTTTGAAAAATAAAAACGAAACGCACCTTGCAATGTTATGTTACCGACAGTTTGAACAAGATGCTGACGTGGGCTGTGTATCTGATAAATATCTTTTGGTGGCGTCAAATTTGTAGGTTGAGGGAAAGCTCCGGCTATATAATTTATTCGTAAATGAAGGTTAGATTTTTACATAAAAAATGGTGTCAAAGGTAATAAAAATTAATTGGTACCAATTTGATTTGCTTTTAAAGGTGCAGCAATCCTTTTTCCATAATATGCTTTTAGCAACATATTTTCACACCATTCTAATGCCTCATTGAAATTTTCAAATATTTGTAAATATTCATTCGATGTATCTCCCCAAATTCCATTACATCTTAGAGCTTTTCCAACTTCAGAATTATATGTGGCCCCACAAAGTACAAGGTAAACTTTTTTTAATGATAAGAGTCTATGAATTCTAATAAATGCCTCAGCTGCGCTGAAATCCATTCCATTAACGAGGAAAAAGTCAACAATTAAAAATCGAATCGGATTTTTTTTCCATTGACGATGATTTAGAACTTGTCGAATTGCATTTTCAACACCGTTAATTGTTCCAAAAAACATATAACCATGTAATTTAATCACATAGATTTGATTTCCAACTTGTTTCAAAAATTTCTGTTGTCGGTATCGACGTCGAACAGTGGATTTGATGGAACTTCCAGAAAATGTTGATCGAATCGCATTCTTTCGAGAATTTGAAACCACGAAGAAAATGCAAGCCATGACAATTCCCAAGAAGATTCCCTCAATAAACCCAAGAACACCCATAGCAATAACAATTGCCACGATTGTTAGGTATTCGAGATGGTTGACTATTCCCCAGGTATCTATCAAGGCCTCTTTCATCAATTCAAGTCCTAAATGAAAAATAAGCGCGCCTACTACCATAACTGGAATATATCCGACAACCCATGGTCCGATAAAAAGTACAATTGCAGTTGCAGCGGCAAGCATCAATCCTGCTACGCGACTGTCGCCGCCGGATTTGATGAATAGGACAGAATTGGTATAAACCAAATAGTCTATTGGTAAAATGTCCAAATCAAAGTAATTAAAAAGGTATTATGCAAAAAAAATCTTGAAAGAATAATTTTTAAATCCAATAACATACTTTGAACGCTTCCGACTAAACCCGACAACATGTTCGAGAGACCATGAGCCACTAATTCACGATTTGTATTGACATTATCTTCATTTAATGAAACTCCCAATGCAGGAATGTTGATTGGGACGTGCAAAATACCTAAAATATAAAAATACAATAGAAAAGATTAATAAAAAAATTCGAATTTTATTTTTTGTGATTAGAATAATATATATATACCGAAGAATGTTAGCGCAAACATTGCCGGAACGGTTTGTAATAAGGCTCCCCAATTCGTCTTTTTGAAATCTAAATCACAAACAGGTGAGCTTTGAATGGATTTACGCCACGATTCAAAATAAAACCCTATAAATATTCTTTTTTTGATTTACCGTAATAACTGTAAAAGCGGTACCATGGAGCATTTCCTTCTGGCATTGGGAATACCCATCCATCACTTCGTAAATCATCCCACTTTAAATCGAACAAATAAACTGAGAGATAAAACAATAGTGGTATAATCATGAAATAGAATGGGACAACAAGAGCACGGGGGCATTTTGTATGAATAATTCTCAAAAGTAGCGCCAAGCCAAGAGCCGATCCCCATAAAGCAAACGTGTGAAAATCATCGAACAATTTAAATAAATTTTCATCAAGATGAGCTGAGACTTCAATTGCAGTTGCGAAAAGAAACCATCCAACTCCACCTGAAACGAAATAGAAGTATCATACATATTTTAAAAAAAAATTATTTTTCCAAATTTTCCAAAATAATGAACTTGATATTTAAAAAATTTATAACAAACCAATGCAACCGACAAGGATATGTCGAGGAAAAAACTCAATCAAGGAGCCAAGCTATTATTATTATTATTATTATTATTTATTATTTTAAGATTAAGATTACTTTAATTTTTAACCACGTAAATAATTTTTTTTTACCTTGAATACTCCCATTAATAAAAACACTACGCCCGTCAAAATGGAACTTAAAGCAAATGACAAAATAGTTGTAGGAATTATTTCACTAGGATCATTTGTTTCTCGGATTATAATTTCAGCCCTATCATGAAGTTAAAAATTTGCATCAGTGAAATTAATTTTAAAGAAAAACATTTCTCAGCCAAATGATTTTACTTACATAATATGTAAGAATGGCACGACTACAGAATTTCAAAAAAATAAAATAAAATAAATGTAGTAAGCCGATTAATAAGAATAATCGCAAAACAAATAAATAGATTTTTACCTTCAATCATCATGCTACCATTACCACCTCCAAAAATACTAAAACCTCCGGAATAAATCACCTGAGATACGATACAACTGCAGAAAGGATGAATGGAATCAATAATGCGAAAAAACAAATCAAAAAAATGTACAATTTTCTCACCTTACAAAGAACATGGAAATCCCATCAGGTCCAAATTCACGAAAAATAGGGTTGCTAATTGGAAACGTGATCATTCCTATTCCATGAATTTAGAAACTCAAAATTAATACGACCATGACCATCTTACTGTTACTAGTTTTTACGCGAAAATTTTCATACCGTAAGAGATAGCATCTAACAAATTCAACAAAAGTCCAAGAATGACGGCCGGAATATATGATAACGGATTCAAAATAACTTCTCTAAAAATTGTTTCTGCATCAAAATGAACTTTGGGCTGTGGACGCTCTTCTCCATCATAATTCGGAAGATAATCATCACCAACACAGGGTAACCATCCTATCCAAGACTTTTCCACCCAGGGATCATCTTCAATTGAAATTACATCATCACCAATTCCTCCTTCATTTCCATAATTGTTGGCTATTCCAAACTGATGATGAAGTAAAGGTTGTGATTCATCATGGATATTTTCAATTGTTTCGAAATTTTGATCCGATTCTGAATGAATTTCATCTACATTATAATTGTTTTTATTGTTTTGAGTCTGTCCTAATTGAGCAATTGCCGCGGTTATCGATGGTGGAGAAGGTTTTGTTGTAGTCAACTCTGGCGGTGATGGAGTTTTTGATTCTCTTTGTAAGAGCAATGATAAATTACTTTGTCCGGCAATATTCGGATCGTTCTTTGGCGATCCATCTTTTTTATCAGATTCCGGTAAAGAGTTCAAGTTTCCAAGGGCCAACGTTTGGTTTCGAATTATTAAAGGTGAAGCGGAATATGATGGTTGAACTAATACATTTTTGGGTTGGGAAAATATTATAATTATTATATCAGGATAATCTTTTTAAAGGGAAATTTTTTTTTAATCTATTTAATTAATGGGTACCAAACTGGTTCGGTAAATCGCGAAATTTGTACAAAAAGATTATTTTTGATCAAGATTCAAAATTATCAAATTATCAAACGATGATCTTGATGATGCACCAAATTTCCCGATCTGATTAATAAGTAATTTGTTTGATGATCACTATTGTTCACGAACCAACAAAATAAAATAATAATAAAATAATAAACTAGAACTTTTTTGAAAAAAAACGAAAAATCTTTTTTTGAAGAATTAAAAATAAATGATATATATGTATAAAAATAAAAAGAAGCATACCACTTTCTAAGTTATTTTGTGTGCTAAGAAAAGAACGAGGACCAAATCCGTAATTTGGACTTTTCGTAATCGAAGTAAATTGTAAAGCATTATGCATCGCATTAGTAAAAGAACGATTTGAGCCAACCGAGTGTTTTGCACGAGGTGAAGCAAGGCTAACGTTGTTATTTGCATTATTAGCAATAGGAAGTTCCGCTTGATTACGAGGTCTTTCTTCTGATCCCATGTTAAGGAAATTATCTCATGTAAAAAGGAATAATTTTTTAAAATTAAAAAAAGAAAAAGGAAAAATAAAAAAAAAAGAGTAAGAGAAAATTAAATTAGCAAGAAAAAACTCGAGAAAATGGAGTATGGTAAAAAATTCAAGTACTTATATTAGGTGTCAATATAATATTTTAAACTACTCATAATTAGCGGGAAAACCGAGTGATAAGCAGTAACTCCACAAGGTTAATCTGTACCATATTTGGCCCAAACAGGTTTAAGATGTCAATAAAGATGTTTGACGGATCATCAGATAAGCCCTTTTTCTTTATGCCCTTATTAATACGATCATCGAAAAGTTTCTAATTGCATTATTTGGAAATGTTATAAACGTTATGGATTTCACCTAAGTGGCGCAAATATTACAAAATCGTTCGTCATATAAGATAAGCAAAGGTATCTTCATTTTATAATTTCTAAATTTAAATAAAGTAAATGAGATCGTCAGGTTACATTTTCTGGTTTTCGTTGAGTAATATATCCTTTGTTCTTCTTGCCGCAATGTTTAGGTTGAGTATTTCCTAATGAGTTTGAAATTTCGGATTGATTTGATTCAAAAGCTCCTAATGAATAAATAGGGCTATGCGTGACATTATATAGGTTTCGAAAAATTTTAAATTACATTACTGCGGCAACCAAAGGTAATATATAATTAAACCTTTCCCATTAATTTTTTTTGTTCCCATGGATATCAAAAAAAAAAAAAAAAAAAAACCTGAAAAATATTAAGTATATTCGTGAGAATGTTTCGAGAGACAATCAGAAAGATACGATGATCGCCGTTCCTTTGATAATGACTGCGGAAATAATTCTCAGGGTCACGTATAAACCGCACTTTTCAATGGAGTATCCATATAAGAATTCTCACCGTGCCGCAGCAATGAACGAAAAAATTTATTCTATTAAAAAGTTTTAAATTTTTGGGGTCGACTAATTCGTAAACGGTATAGATTATTTATGGATGGGGATTGAAACAAAGAACGGGATGAATCAGAAAAGGAAATTGATATCTATGTTATTTCGCAATTCTGCCAGGAAAAGTTGATACAAGATGGGGTTAAAAAAAGATGTATAAAAATGTACAATACGAAATATTCATTTTGTGCAGGTGAAAATGAATCTTTCGGGGAACTATTTGTACACTTTAGATTAGATTAGATGGATCAATTTATGCAAAATTAATAAATTAATATCAATCTATTGCATAAATCATCAACACGAGATAACTCCTTTTCTTGTAAACCAGAAGCCGTAAAGATTTAACTTGTACTAATATTTACTTATGGGAATTTTCGAACTGAAGCTTCATATTTTTTAACGAAATTTTTAAAAAAAAAAATTGTAACGATTGAATTTTCTTACCCTACGTATGATAGTGCGGATAACTACTTCTCTAACGCCCAATTATAGTTTTGGATCATAATACTTGGAGTACCCGTGTTTATCAAAAACCGGAACGATTATATATATTAAAATTTTTATTTATTTTTTCTTTGGTTAATGTTGTAATACTAGATGCTTTTGCGACAAACAATTTCTGATTTGGGAGAAAGTAAAAATTCTGAGCTTAAAAAGTTGAAAATAGATCTAATTTTCCATCCCGCTCTTTCATGTCGATCATTATTACGGTTAAAAAATTTGTAATATTTATTGATTCTGAATTTTTGAAAATATTTCGTTTATTTTTTCCTATTCAATTTACCCAATTTATTAAATCTAAAAGATTAGGAGAATCTTTTGGAACCGATTGAATGAGGATAAGTTCATTTTTAGCTATTCATATCCAAGTTATTATAATAAAATAAAATATATATCAAGAAATTTAAACTTTTTATTACAATGTTGCTTTTAGTCTTGTCAGACTTTGAATTTACCAGAAACAGTTTTTAGTCATAAAATCAATTTAAATTAACGTTTCTTTTTTTTCACATGAATTTGTAATTCTCCTTTACTGGTAGTATCAAGAAGTGGTTTCCCACAAATTAGTGGCAGAGAATCTAGAACTGCTTCCACAAACTAAACCAATTGAAACCAAATTATATTGGTAACCTTGTGGTACGACTTTTTTGAATCTCAAACAAAATTTGGTTTTCTAACTGTAAATTTTAATGTATTTGGTAATACAAATTACCAAATTAGTATTACATTTTTCGAAAACTTATTGTTGAAATGATTTGATTTGTTTAAATGATGGAAATTCTGGTCCATTCTTTGGTGAGGTCAATTTATATATCCAAATTTTACTATGAAATACTTTATATAAACATATGATAATCTATTTGATATTGATGATCAAAAAGTTATCATCCAATGATTATGGAATTAATTCTTCTGTATAGAGCATGGATATTGTTGCTGTTTCTAGTGGTTCGGGTGTCGGAAAGTTACAAAAAATGATTTATCACAAAAAAAAAATAAAGTAAATCAAAGCCTCATCTTTTCCCGTTCGTATTTCTTTGAATTAAACCAATTATAGAAGTTCATGTACTTTAATTGATTAAAAAAAGATACACTTTGTCTATCTGATATAGGAATTCATGCACTTACAGCACGTTTTACTCATTCCAACTATAATTATTGCCTTAATAATTGTACACAATTTGGAGAAAAATTGCTCGTTTACGTTCCCAAGAAGATAAATTTCCAATTCCAATGACCAAAGTTTTAGTGGGTTGAAAAACATCAATAAGTACCATTGATTACAAATTATAAATTTAAATTACAAGAATGTAAACTATAATTTACCTAACATAAATTAAAATTAGCTTTTCAATGGTATAAGAAAAAGAACATAGAGGTGGTGTACAAGGTATGTAATTTTTTTTTTAAAAAAAATTAAGTGAGAAGTGATTTGTTTTAACAATTTACATTTTAAGTAGGAATAATTGACAAGAATTCATATAACAAACAGTACATTTTTTTCCGCCACCACATTAGGATCTTAAATTATCAAAATAAAAATTTTTAAAAAGATTTATTGAAATGAACTAAAGAATTCGATATCTTTTTTTTAATAGATCAGGATCGCTGCATCTTGATACAATTCTATCCAAAGTTATCAAAGCCAATAAAACAATATCAATTGCAGCAGTTCCACCTTTTATATATATATATATTATTAGGTCAAATTTGATGTGTTAGAATTTGAGAACTAAAAATTTAATATATGTTCATATATTTTTTGTTTTATTATTTGTACATACCAACTCCAATTTCATTCAAAAGTTCATCATACGTGAATTCATTCCAAGCTTGTCGTGGAAAATCTGGCAAGTCGTGTTTATCTTAATAAAATATTTATATTCCTGTCAATATTTAATCAAGTTTTAAAATAATGATGAAAAAGGACCTTAACTTACCTGCAACCATCTCATTAATATCATATATGACCTGATTTAAAAACTATCATCAAGGTTAGAAATGATTATTATATATTTCATACGATATTTCACATAAATAACTTACTTCCATAGAAACTTGTCTGCGAATATCATAACCAAGAGTTGTCATCTCTTCTTTTGTAATAGGTCTAATTTGTGTACATTCTGGCATTTGATCTGATGGAAAACTTGGTATAGGCGATATTTGCTGATGTTCCAAAGTTGGCGTTGGTGTCACGTCAATTTTATTAGTAACTTTTTGAATATGCATATCCTTTTTTTTCGATTCATTAGAATTTAGTTGAATTCCATAATCTTTAATCATTTCAGGGGTACCTAATTTTCAATTTGCGAGTAATAATAATGTATGAATAATGGTAATATACTTTAATTAACGATATCTTATTTAATCGATATACACCAGCTTTAAGTAGTGCCAACGCGTGATCCGATAAACCAAAACTTTCAAGTGTCGGACTTTCTTGTGTTTGAGTGGAAAGCCTTTTAAATGCTTTGGTAACAGGCGATGTATTTCGTTCAGGATTCAACTTTAAAGGTTCGTTAGATGACTCCTCAATCAACTCCTCATTAACAATTGTTGATTTCGCAACGAAAATTTCTACAAAAAATAAAGTGAATATTTACTTATCTTTTAGTTAAAAACGCGAAAATCTTACTCGACTACCTTCCAATCCAAATTCTCGTAACTGTTCCTCCAATAAATTTATTTCATGTTGTATCTATCATAAAATTAACATCAGATAAAAATTTTCAACCCATTATAGAATATTTGGTTTATTCTTAACAGAGTTTAAATACCAACCTTATCGTAAACATTTTTCGTAATCAAAACCAAATTCAACATAGGATGATTGATATTTGGGATTTTTTCTAATGCAATTACTTCATTCAACAATGATTTACTTTGTATCGAAATATCACGAAGATTTTCATGATATCCCGAGGATAACGCAGGACTTTCAATTGTAGTCCTTATTATGAAGTAACAATTGTGAATGTGTAAAAAAAATGTAAAGCTTTATGTAATTTATTTGGTGATTTAAATTAAGTTCGAGAGTTCTATCAAACTATAATATGAAATAAGTACAAACCTCAACTCCCGACAAGATTCTTCGAGTTGCAAACCAAATTGAGTCAATTTTGTGAAAAACTCTTCCATTTTGTTTAACTTGGTGTAAAATAAAAAACTACGAAAATTGGGATTTAAGTATATTTGGCTTCAAAATGATTGGTTAAAAAGATTCTACATCAACGCGTTCATTCATGGAACAATCGGAAATGGAAATTGGCCACAAGGTTGCTTAACCAAATCATGGAGTAAATTGTATAATAAAAATATCTTCTGTAGATGCTAAGTTGGATCACGGCCCTGCTATAACATACATTAATAACAAATTTGAATCCTTTCTAAATCAAAAATCCAAAAGGTAACTTGCGCAGTATATCGCATCATTTATTTGACATCGACGCATAAAGTTTTTCGTGTTTGATAATTAATAAATTCCGTATTTACGCGTATTAATTAAAAACACATAAATTAATTGATTTTTATTTATCAAATAAACGCGTAAAATTCAAATCTATTTTGGTTAGGTAACTACGTTTACGATTTATTTAATCATAACCTTTCCTCTATTTTATTACTTTGATAGACAGCCTTAACTTGGTTAACTTCTAAACTCTAAATTGTCAAAGAAGTGATCTTCCTAATCTAACAATTTTGAAATATTGTTAAAGTCACGTGGTGTACATAACTTTTGGAAAAGGTTTGTTTATTGATTGTCATGATTCGTGCAGAAATATGATGATATTTCATCATGTAACGACATATTGATAAATATTTGTGTGCTTATATTTAAAACATCCATAATTCATTAAAAAGAAATATTATCGGCAATCGTTCTTTTCTCCAACAATAAGAAATGATTAGGAAATTATCGACAGTTAGTGGCTTTTTAAAGATGGATACCTTACAAGGGTTGATTTAATGTGGCTTTTGTTTGTAAATTCGCCTTATCTCTGAAACTATTTTTTTTCTTAAAAGCGCCTTGCATTATCTTAAGTTTTAATGTTTTTTTCTTTCATATTTCATGTGTTCATTATCATAAGCACTTTTGTATTAAAAATAGATGTGATCTTCGGTCATGTATTGTTATTGATATCGTCGTAAGTTAAGTCTATGCTTCGTTTCTCCCATTCATTTTAATTGAAGAATGATGGAATGACCTAGTAACAAGTGAGTGAGTGAGTGTTAATGCACATAATTAATTTTTTTCTCCTAGAAAGCAAAACCTGTAATCAATTTGGTACTTTTAATTGAACCCAGAAATATTTTTGTGTCACAATATAAAATTTAAAAAATAGCAATGTGCTGTACTTTACATATACTGTATATAGAAGGTTTCTAACTAACTACATACAGTAAATCAGAATTTAACAAGATATACCGCAATTTTTTTAAAAAAAAATCATTAGTGGAGATAAACTTTTATTATTAATAAATTACTAATAAAAAATTGTTTTTTTTGATCCTTTGAAATCTATAAATTTATTTATTTATTTTCGCCAGACTAGAATGTATTTAAAATAGCTTGTTTACTTTATAAATAATTATCTAACTTTACACTGTTTTTATTTCTTCAATTCCACCTGAATTCATGCATTTTGAAGTGCTCATATTTCGATTATCTTAATATCATTATATTTAAACAAACTTGTTAATGAACTACAATACTATAGATTCGAAATTCATAAATTCCAATGATTCTTTTCATCCGAATCTGCATCATATCCTTTTGCAAAAATCAATATATGAGTTTCTTGCAAAAGTAGAAGAATCTGATTTCAGATTGAGAATAAAATATTTGTAAAAATGCATGAGTATAGCAGATTATCCTAAGACAATCCGCTTATATTAGACTAATATGTCTTAGGTCTAAGACATTATAATCTATTTATTAATATGTCCTAGAACGTTATGATCTATTAATTAATATGTCTTAGGACGTTATAATCCATTAATTAATTTGTCCTAAAGATGGGTCTGTTTCCCTTTCTATAACCTGTTGGTTAGTAAATATGAATGAAAGGCGTGCCTTTTGGTTGCCTTCAGAATATCAAAATAGTGTAAAAAATATTGTGTTGGGTGGGCACAATGAATTTGCAATTAAATTTTGCCAGCTCTATGGTATAACTCTGACCGATCTTTTGGGTATATGATTTGAAGATCCAACTTGGATCATGATGGTGATTTGGTAGTATCCTGAAACTACTGTAAAGCTGTCATAAAACTTGTAAGGAGTTAGAGATGTTCTATTAGTTTATCAGTTTTATGCCAGCTTTGGTATCGAATTATTATATCCAGAGTTTTGACTGAAGTTATGGAATAGTGCTGGTTAAAATTAAACGAAACTTTACTACGCTTTTTTTTTTAAAATGGATGTTGTGAAAAAATACATATATTGTTAGAAGAATCATCTGACAGTACTTCTAGAAGGGGAAGAAAGGTGAAATGACAGGTGATTCTTTGCGCATATATTGTTAATTTACTGTGCTTAAAGTTTTTGTGATACTCTACGCATATATTGTTAGAAGGATCATATGATAGTAATCCCAAAAGGCTCTGTTTCAAGTGATACTCCATATACATATTGTTAGGAAAATCATATGATAGTGATCCTAGAGGGCTCAACGTCAATGACATCGTCAATCTAGAGATATCTATTAATTCATCCAATATGAATGCCAAATTATTGTATCCAAAAATCTGGTCAAAATTATCATTAACTAACTATGCCTAAATTTTTAATATCTCCCCATCACCTTCTCACAACTTTTAAGAAACATTTAAGGAATATTTGAATGGCATTTGGGATTTGAGCTAGTGGATCAGTTGATTAGTGAATTAGAGATGTAAACTTCGTATCTCTTTTTGGTTTTATAATTTTACTGGTCTAGATACATATCATCGAGATGTAGCCTTTATGTCACATCCAAATACATACTAGTATTAGAGTATTCTTCTGCTAATATTTAGGAACATGTTTATCTGTGATTCTTTTATCATCTTACTATACATCTTTTTTTTCAAAGAATGAAAAATAAATGTGTCAATAGAAATACCTATGCCTGAGTATATACTAGTGATAGGGTAGTCTTCTTCTATTATTTTATATAATATTTCTGAAGAAGACTTACCCAAAATACATATATCTGACTACATACTAATGATAGAGTATTCTTCTTCTATTATTTTATATAAAGATTCTGAAAAGAATATTTTGAATATCATATCATACTGGATATATACTAGTGACAGGATAGGTAAATACAAATATTATATAATAGATTATGCACTTACATATTCTTATATTTGTCTATTGAACGTGCTTATTCCTATTTTTTTTTACCATCTTGCTTAAGGTTGCTTGGCTAAATTATTTTAGAAAATGCGAAACGGTAAAATTTTAATTAATGCAATTTAAACTATTGCAAAACTCAAAAC